GTTGTGTTACTTTCTGCTGTACAGCAAAATGAATCAGTTATACATATACATATATCCACTCTTTTTTAGATTCCTTTCCAATATAGGTCATTACAGAGTCTTGGGTAGAGTCCCCTGTGCTATATAGTAGGTTCTTATTAGTTACCTATTTTATATACAGTGAAGTGGATATGTCAATCCCACTCTCCCAATTTATCCCTGCCCCCTTTCCCCCTCCCCGGTAACCATAAGATTGTTTTCTACATCTGTGACTCTATTTTTGTTTTATAAATAAGTTCATTTGTACCATTTTTTTAGATTCCACATATAAGCAATATCATATGATATTTGTCCTCCTCTGTCTGACTTACTTCACTTAGTATGACAATGTCTAGGTCCATCCATGTTGCTGCAAATGGCATTATTTCATTCTTTTTTTTATGGCTGAGTGATATTCCATTGTACATACGTACCATATCTTCTTTATCCATTCCTCTGTTGGTGAACATTAGGTTGCTTCCATGACCTGGCTATTGTAAATAATGCTGCAATGAACATTGGGATGCATGTATCTTTTCAAATTATGGTTTTCTTCAGATATATGCCCAAGAGTGGGATTGCTGGATCATATGGTAGCTCTATTTTTAGTTTCTTAAGGAACTTCCATACTGTTCTCCATAGTAGCTGTTACCACTTTACATTCCCACCAACAGTGTAGAAAGGGTTCCCTTTTCTCCACACCCTCTCCAGCATTTATTGTTTGTAGATTTTTTTTTTCTACATCTTTATTGGAGTATAATTGCTTTACAATGGTGTGTTAGTTTCTGCTGTACAACAAAGTGAGTCAGCTATATGTATACATATATCCCCATATCCCCTCCCTCTTGAGCCTCCCTCCCACCCTCCCTATCCCACCCCTCTAGGTCGTCACAAAGCATCAAGCTGTCCTATGCAGCAGCTTCCCACTAGCCATACACTTGGTGGTGTATACATGTCAGTGCTACTCTCTCACTTCATCCCAGCTTCCCCTTCCCCCACTGTGTCCTCAAGTTCCTTCTCTATGTCTGCGTCTTTATTCCTGCCCTGCCACTAGGTTCATCAGTACCGTTTTTTAGATTCCATATATATGTGTTACCATACGGTATTTGTTTTTCTCTTTCTGACTTACTTCACTCTGTATGACAGACTCTAGGTCCATCCACTTCACTACAAATAACTCAGTTTCATTTCTTTTCATGGCTGAGTAATATTCCATTGTATATATGTGCCACATCTTCTTTATCCATTCATCTGTCAATGGACACTTAGTTTGCTTCCATGTCCTGACTATTGTAAGTAGAGCTGCAATGAACATTGTGGTACATGACTCTTTTTGAATTACGGTTTTCTCAGGGTATATGCCCAGTGGGGGGATTGCTGGGTCATATGGTAGCTCTATTTTTAGTTTTTTATGCAACCTCCATACTGTTCTCCATAGTGGCTGTATCAGTTTACATTCCCACCAACAGTGCAAGAGGGTTCCGTTTTCTCCACATCCTCTCCAGCATTTGTTTGTATATTTTTTGATGATGGCCATTCTGACCGGTGTGAGGTGAATTTAATTAATTAATTACTTAATTTTTAAAATTTATTTTATTTATTTATTTTTGGCTGTGTTGGGTCTTCGTTGCTGCATGCGGGCTTTCTCTAGTTGTGGAAAGAGAGGGCTACTCTTCGTTATGGTGCGCGGGCTTCTCATTGCGGTGGCTTCTCTTGTTGTGGAGCATGGGCTCTAGGCGCATGGCCTTCAGTAGTTGTGGCATGTGGGCTCACTAGTTGTGTTTCACGGGCCCCAGAGCACAGGTCCAGCAGTTGTGGTGCACGGGCTTAGTTGCTCCGCGGCATGTGGGATCTTCCGGGATCAGGGATTGAACCCGTGTTCCCTGCATTGGCAGGCGGATTCTCAACCACTGAGCCACCAGGGAAGCCCGAGGTGAATTTTAAATGTCAATAAGTATTAAAAATTTACTCTCCCTCCAGCAATGTATAAGTATACCCTTTTCTTCAAATTCTTGCTCACACTTATCTTCAGACTTTAGGTTTTTGCCAATCCAATAGGTGAAAAATATCTCAAGGTTATCTTAATTTGCATTTCCCTCATTAACTGTTTATCTTTAAAAAAGAAATCAAGTTGTTTGACCAGTGAAGAAGAGAGCTGGAGCTGACCTCCCTCAATGAATATAACTGATGCAACCTCTGAGTATATTAGCTCTTCGGGTAACCCCACCATATTCTTGACTCAGTGAATTTGTTGGAAGGCTTTTCATTGCTTGCAATTTTACTGGCTCAATTACTGGGAAAATCTCAGGGTATACTGATGACACCAGGACCCATTTTTCACCTTTAATTCTTGTATCTGCTTCTGATGATATCCTTCTGGGTATCATGATACCCAAGCACCTGGGGCTCTAGCCAGAGTCCTTTTCCCAGGATTCCTAGTAAAGTTCTTCTGCCTCACTGGGTCTCGTTAAGTGACATGTCCATCTCTGCACTAATCACTGTGGGATGAGATGTGCTAATCGGTTGAGGCCTAGGTCACATGTTCTATCCCAGAGCAGCTCCCGTGGAGCCTCACCTGAAGTCCAGGGGAGGTTGCTGGGATGAGTCACTTCCTAATTACTTTCCACACTGGACAAATTAAAGATGTTTACAATTTAGATGTCAGGTTTTTCATTGCTAGTTTATCTTATAAATCTATTATCATATAGATTTCTCTGTGTCCTAATCTGAGTTTATTTTAAGAAAATGTGGGTGGGTACTAAATAGGAATATCCCCAGGAAAGCATGATCTGTCAACTTTTAAGGCAATCATTTTGGGGCTTATAAGCATTTTGTATTTGAAGTCTTTGATCTTTGTTCTCTTTCAGGTATTTTTTTTCCCTATTGTGATACTCGTAGATATTTTTAAATTTAAACTTGAAATTTAACAAATTCCCAAGCAAGTGAAAGAAATACTATTAGCTATGGGTATTTTTCTTTCTCTCTCTCTCTTTTTTTTTAAGGGCAGCCGTCTCCTTTTTAAATTTTTATTATTATTTTTTGGCTGCACCACGCGGCATGTGGGATCTTATTTCCCTGACCAGGAGTCAAACCCAAGCCCCCTGCAGTGGAAGCGCAGTCTTAACCACTGGACCTCCAGGGAAGTCCGGTATTTTTCTATTAATGTTTCTTAGAATATATAGGTCTTTCCATGGTAGATTTTGGTCTTTATCAGCTCTGGAAAGTTTTATTCTTTTACCATTGCATTGTATCTTTTCAATTTATCCTATTTTTAAAACAATTAATGCTATTCAGGTATTATTTACATATAATAAAATGCACCATTTTAACTGTACATTTCTGAGTTATAATTTTATATACCCATGTAACTGTCACCACAGTCAAGATATGGGACACTTCCATCACTCCAATAACTGGCCTTGTGTTCTATCCCAGTCAACTAACACCTTCCCTAGACCTTAGGCAACCACTGATCTGGTATCTGTCACTGAGATTAGAATAATCTTTTCTAGAGTTTCATCTGAATGGAATTATACAAATATGAATGGAAAAAAGCTGCTATGAATATTTGACTACATGTGTTTATGTGAGTAAATTGTTTTGTATTTCTTGGGTAAATACTTAGAAGCAGGATTGCTGGGTCGTATGGTAGGTGTATGTAAACTTTATAAGAAACAGCCAAACTGCTTTTTAAAGTAATTGTACTAAAAATTAAAAATTAAAAATTAAAATAAAGTAATTGTACTATTTTACATTCCTGCCTCTACATTCTTGCTGACACTTGCTATTATCAGTTTTTTATATCTTAACCACTCTTGTGGCTGCATAGTAGAATTTCATTGTGGCTTTAATTTTCATTTCTTTCTTTCCTTCCTTCCTTCTTTTTTGGTCACACTGCGTGGCTTGTGGTATCTCAGTTCCCGGACCAGGGATTGAACCTGGGCCACAGCAATGAAAGCGCCGAATCCTAACCACTAGGCCACCAAGGGACTCCCTAATTTGCATTTCTTTATGACTGCTGATGATGAACATCTTTCCATGTGCTTACTGATCACATGCATATCTTTAAAAAGAAAAGTGTCCCTTCAAATCTTCTGCTCATTTTTATTGGGATAGTTGTCTTCTTATTTTTGAGCTGTAAGGGTTCCTTATATGTTCTGGATACAAGTCCTTTGTCAGATACATGTTTTGCTGATATTGTCTCCTGGTGTGTGGTTTATATTACATTTTTAAAATAATGTCTTTCAAAGAGCAAAAGTTTTAAATTTTGATAAAGTCCGACTAATCAATTTTTTAATAGTTTGTACTTTTTGTGTCCTAAGAAATCTTTGCCTACCCTAAGGTATGAAGATTTGGTCCTGTTTTCTTCAAAAAGTTTAAATAGTTTTAGTTTTTCTGTTTAGGTTTATGAGAGTGGCAGTGGGGAATACCATCTCTCAGGGGTCAGGCTCGAGAGATGTCGTTTTCTGTTTCTGGCCTTTTTTGGGGTGACCTCACCCACACCCCTGGCTTCAATCACCACCATATCCTGATGGTTCCAAGTCCATCTGTGTAATCCAGGCCCCTCCTCTGCTCCAGATCCGTGAAGCCAACTAGCTTGGACATATCCTCCTGGTGTTTCACAGGCACAAGGAACACAGGCTCCTCCGTCCCCACAGCCCTGCTTCTCCCCAGGGCCCGCATCTCTGTGAAGGTACCACCATTCTCCCAGGGGTCCAGCTTTCCCCAGGGGCTCCAAGTACAAGTGCAAGTACAGATCAGATAACACCAACGTCAAAGTAAAATGCCACTGCATTAATCTAGAATGGGAGAGAGCCCTTTAATGGGACAAGAACAGTCTCACTCCTCTGCAGGTGTGTTCCTGTCCTCACCCCAATACTCACAGATATTTTAATTGGTTTGGGGGAATAGCTCAGGGGCTGAAATATTTCACACATAGCTGAGATCCCCTTTCTAGTGCCCAGTCTACGCACAACGTCCAGATCCAGACCATCCTCCCCCGGGCAGTGCAGGATGCCCTCTGCAGCCCTGCCTTCTCTGGACCCATCCTTCCTGCGCTGTCCTCTGTGAGCGCCCCCTAGCAGATGCTTCCTGTACTGCCTCTCACATCTGTTCTGTCTCCAGTGCTTCTGTAACGTTGATTCAGCCCCTCACCTCACACAATCAGCCTCTGAATATGACACCTGGGGTCCAGGTTGACCCCTCTGAACTATTCCCTACTTCTTTGCAAAAGGGACTTTTAAAAAACACAGACTTGGCCAGGCCACAACAACTTTAATTGTTGCCCGGGACTTAGGGATGAATCTCAAGCCCCCAGCTTGTGGTCGCCAGTTGTAGGTTGAATTGTGGCCCCCTCGAAAAAGATACGTTGTAATCCTAACCCTTAGCACCTCAGAATACGAGCTTATTTGGACACAGTGTGTTTACAGAGGTAGTCAGGTTGAATGAGGTCATTTGGGTTGTCCTTAATCCAATATGACCAGTGTCCTTATGAAAAGAGATTTAGCCACAGAGACAGACATGCACAGAAAGAAGATAATGTAAAGACACCTAGGGGGGGCTTCCCTGGTGGCGCAGTGGTTGAGAGTCCGCCTGCCAATGCAGGGGACATGGGTTTGCGCCCCGGTCTGGGAGGATCCCACATGCTGCGGAGTGGCTGGGCCCGTGAGCCATGGCTGCTGGGCCTGCGCCTCCGGAACCTGTGCTCTGCAGCGGGAGAGGCCACAACAGTGAGAGGCCTGCATACCGCAAAAAAAAATAAAAATAAAAAAATAAAGACACCTGGGGGAAGATGGGAAGAGTGATGCACCTATAAGCCAAGGAAGACCAAGGTTGCAGGCAAACACCAGAAGCTGGAAGAGGCAAGGAAAGATTCTCCTTCAGAGCCTTCAGAGGGACCGTGGCCTTGCTGACACCTTGATTTGGACCGTGCCCTCAGAATGTGAGACAATAAATTTCTGTTGTTCTAAGTCACCCAGTTTTGGGCACTTCGTTACAGCAGCCCTAGAGGTGAATACAGCCCTCTCCGTTTTCAGCCTCCTGCTTCCTGCGCTTGTATGCTTCATGAGTTTCCCAAGGTGTACAGTTCTCTTACTGTTAGGAATGCTACCTGCCATGTCCATGCCTCTGTGCAGGTGGGGCCAATCAAAGCACCAAATATGACTTGCCCTCTTGCAAAAAGCCATAAAAATTGGTGTTGGGAAAGGCAGTCTCATGCATGCAGTGTTTTGGCCCTCACTTGGTGGCATAAGAATGGGCCTTGGCTTAGAACTCTTCCTTACCAAGAGCCTATGCCGGGCTTATCACCTTGTGTGGGAGTATCTTTCCCTGTTTCAGTTTCAATGACTGTGTGACGAAAGAAACGGAAGAACAGCTCCAGGGCTAACAGCACATTTTGGCTTCTGCAAGAAACTTGCTTGCTTGCTTGGGGGCGGGAAGAACCGGGTTCCTGATTGGCTGATTCAAAATTAAACAGCTCCCTCCCGCCTTGGGGACTTCCCGCCCTGTGAAGGGTATAAAAGCCTCGCCCGACGGTTAGTCGGGGTCTCACTCACTTCTCTCTGAGTGGGACCCTGTCTGGACAGTTTGTGTAAGCTTCTATACTTGTATAAATCCTTTGCTAATCTTTCTACTTGGTGTTGGTGATTCTCGGGTGTCCTTGGTTGGGACATGGGTCGCATTTACAGGGGAACTCGACTCCAGGCGTGTGGCTCCCGGACCGCAACATTTGGGGGCTCGTCCGGGATCGGACAGTGGAGGTTAAAGACCTGAAACAGGGTCCCTCCCTGTCTTTGGACTACTCGAAGTGGAGGTTAAAGATCTGAAACAGGGTCCCTCCTCCGAAGCCACCGCCTGCTCCTTCCTCGGGTAAGTTTGCGACCCTTGGCTTGCCGGCAAGAAACTAGGAGACTCCATTAAGGCTTGTCGGACGCGACGTTAAGCCTGGAGTCAGGAGGAGTCCCGGGACGCCGCGATTCCTCCTTGGGAATTCAAAGTCGGTTTCGATATTCTTTGGTCCCGACTTTGAACTGGGATTGTGTCAAAACTTGTTGTTCTCCCCTTCTGTCTTTTGTCACTCGTGTGTGTGCTCTTGCATTTGCTTGGACACTTTGGCTTTGTGCTTGTGCTAAAACCTTTAGCTCAACAGAAATTTAACAATGGGACAAGGTATGTTCCGGATGCAGACCCCCCCTGAGCCTAGTTCTGGACCACTTCAGAGACTTCCACCAGCTCGCCAGGGGATTCGGGGCCTCTGTATCCCCGGAAACCCTCCGCACCTTTTGTGAATTGGAATGGCCGACATTTGAGGCGGGATGGCCATCCGAAGGTACGTTCTCTATTCCGGTTATAGCTGCGGTGGAAGATATTGTCTTTAAGGTACATGATTATCAGATTGTGTATATTGAGTGTTGGCGGGGTCTCGTGGAGACACCACCTGACTGGCTGAAGCCCTGGTCGCCCCCGCCGGGAGCTACCAACAGAAAGGAAACAAGATCTAAAGATAACATGTGCCGCCAAGATGGCGGACGGGAAAAAACCTAATGTTAAAAGCTCTAAGTCCCCGCCCCCTCCTCTTGTACGGGAGGGAGAGGAAGAAGAAACCCCTCCTCCCGAGGCGTCTGCTCCTCCCCCTCTCTATGTCCCTCCCGAGGCGGATACCGGCCCCGAAGACGACATCCTCCCAGGTCGGCCCAGGAGACCGCATACCCGGTCTAGAGATCACTTGACTGAACCGCGGTCCACTGCTCTGCCTCTGCGGCAACAAGCACCTAGACCAGGGGAGGCACAGCCTTTTCTTACTTACGCCCCATTCTCCGCGACTCATTTATATAATTGGAAATTACAAAATCCTCCATTTTCTGAGAAACCACAAGCGTTAATATTACTGTTAGAAACTATATTTGTAACTCATCAGCCGACCTGGGATGATTGTCAGCAATTGTTACAGGTTTTGTTTACCACGGAAGAAAGAAAAAAATCATGTGGAGGGCCCGTAAACAGGTACTTGGTCCAGATGGACGGCCCACTGATAACCGCAACCTAATTAAAACCGTGCTCCCTAGTACCCGACCGGAATGGAATCCGAACACGGAGGAGGGACGAGGGGCTTTAGCCCGTTTTCGCCAGGCTCTGTTAACAGGACTTCGGGCAGCAGCACGAAGGCCAACTAATATGTCCAAGGTTACAGAGGTGACCCAGGGAGCCACAGAGTCTCCAGCCGCCTTCCTGGAAAGGCTGATGGAGACTTAATAGGCTATGGACCCCCATAAACCCTGAGGCACACACACAAAAAAACAGGCAGGCGGGCAATTAACTTGGCCTTTGTGACACAGTCGGCCCCAGATATCCGAAGGAAATTACAAAAATTAGATGGTTTTAAAGGGAAGAACTTATAAGCTGAAAAGAGACAGTTAAGGCAGGTATTAAAAGAAAAAGTATTCTCAGTCACTAGGCAATGTGTGACTTGTACACAAGTAAATGTGTGACTTGTACACAAGTAAACCAAGGGGCCAACTCACAACACCAGGAGCTGCCTCTGTATTGAGGCAACGAGGCAGGCTGCTTTTGGGAAATGGACTTTAGCCTGATAGAAATTTTAAAAGAGGCCTTCTCCCCTAAGCTAAGTATTAAACAAAGGGAAAACCTTTGAGATACAAATGTCCTATCTGGTCTTCTAAAAAACCCTTATCTCTGCCATCTTTTTAAATGCAAATTTAAAAAAAGAGGGTAAAGTAACTTAACACTTGACTTGTCAAGGATAAATAGAAATCCCAAGTGTCTTTTCTATAAGCACTAGTAAAAAGGATTTAGCCATCTAGATTGGTGACCTTGATTTGTTCCATCTGCCAGAAGCCCAATTTGAATCCAACCCCTTGTAACTGATAGATTTTATGTTGTACCTGACTCAGGACTGAAATTTTGGAATGGGAACAATGAGACCTCTGTGTTTGTATTTTCATACGTATCTATATGTGTGTTGTAGATGTATGGTATTGCCAAAAATTAATTCATAGAAGAGCTCTACTTAATTGGCTTATAAAAAAATCAAACACTTACATAAATACTCAGAAGTAAAAAATAATCTGGCCAGAATGAATTTCGGGTTCATGTCATCTGAAAAATATTCAGTACTAAACTGATATCTGGTATTAAAGGCGGCTTAAACTTGTTGGTTTAATATAGACATGTCTTTAGAGTCATCAATGTTGAGTATAATACTTTTGTTGTACCTAAGTTTACTAAAGGTCAAATAAAACCTTATTCCATCTGTTATAAATCTGTCAACAAAAAAAAGTAACTCAATGTAAAAAAAAAAACTTTTAAGGAAGGTAAGATGTATGTTTTCAGTAAAAGAAGGTGGGACGAATGAAAAAAAAATACTGAAAACAGTAATACATGATCAGGATTTTCTAAGATTGGACTGAATTTAGTTGGGTAAATGGATTTTATTAGGAATGGGCTAAAACAAGACTGGATTTAGTTTCTTCCCCCAAAGTATTCTTAAAATGCTGCTTTTGACAACAGACTGTGTGAGTTTCTTTGCATTTAAGTGATCTGTATTTGCTTTTGAGATCTTTTGTAACTTTGGTTAAAAAATAAGTATTGTCTCATAGTGACCAACTGTTTTAAAACTTTTTGACAAACTTCCCAAATATCAAATTTTAATTGTTTCCTTTGATTTCCAGTTAACTTTATGATACTTTAGAGGTCCCCTGAGGTATCGTAAAGAAAAATATTTAACTAAGATTACTTGGTATGTTAAACGTAATCATTCATAATTCTGGTTATTGTAACCAAGTTTCTTTATTGATTCCAAGAATTTGGACTGGATACAAAAGAAAAAGGGGGGGTATTAGATAACGAGAAGGAAGGAAAGATATGGATTACAGGGGGCCACTGGGACTCAACGCTGTTTTTGGACCACAGACAGGAAGGTCGACTTGGGCAAACAAACAGTCACCCACTCCTTCCTGGTCATGCCCGACTGCCCCTATGAAGGCAAGACAAAGATCACCGAATTTTTATTCCTGAGAACCTAGGCCTGATGTTGATACGACGCTTGCATGAGGGAACGCATCTGGGATCTACAAAATTACATGAACTGTTAAAAACTCGTTTTCGAATTCCATAACCAGTTTCCCGAAGTAACCTTATTACAATATGTGGATGATTTACTTGTGGCTGGAAAAACTGTGCGGGATTGTCTAACAGGAACAAAAGGCCTAATAAGGTTACTACAGGACTTAGGCTATAAACTCTCAATTAAAAAGGCTCAGATTTGTCAAGAACAAGTAAACTATTTAGGGTATATCCTAAAAGGAGGACAGAGATGGCTAGGAAAGCCACGCACTCAGGCCATCCTAACCTTACCAACCCCTACCACAAGAAAGGAATTGAGAGAATTCTTGGGAATGGCGGGCTATTGCCGGCTCTGGATACCCAGATTTGCAGAGCTGGCCAAGCCTCTATACGATGCCCTGAAGGGCGTTAACCAGAATGGCCCCGAAGCCACCAAGATTAACTGGACTGAGACACAAGGGAAGGCCTTCCAGGACATTAAAAGGGCTCTTACCTCACCTTCTGCTCTGGCACTCCCCAACCCTGATATGAACGAACCGGGGTGGCAAGGGGAGTACTAACTCAGAAACTTGGGCCCTGGCGAAGGCCGATAGCCTATCTCTCTAAACAACTGGACCCAGTAGCCTCCGGGTGGCCCTCATGCGTCAGACAAATTGCAGCCACTGCCCTGCTGAACCTCGGCACTGGAAACCTTTTGTACAAAAACTGAAAATAAAATTTCTGGAACCCACATTGCCACCTGGAGACTTAGTCTGGGTAAAGAAGCATAACCCCCAGACATCGGAGACTAGGTGGACTGGACCTCATCTGATTGTGTTGAGTACCCCGACTGCTGTTAAAGTCGACGGTGTCCGGACTTGGATTCATCATAGCAGAATAAAGAGAGACTACACCACAGAGGACGTGGACACTAACAGACGGATTGACTGGGCAAACTTTAGCCCAAAACGAAACATACCTCCTGAATACGGAAGACCAGGAATCAAGGATTTGATTAGTTCCTAGAAAAAGGGGGGAATGTGACGAAAGAAACGGAAGAACAGCTTCAGGGCTAACAGCACATTTTGGCTTCTGTAAGAAACTTGCTTGCTTGCTTGGGGCGGGAAGAACCGGGTTCCTGATTGGCTGATTCAAAATTAAACAGCTCCCTCCCGCCTTGGGGACTTCCCGCCCTGTGAAGGGTATAAAAGCCTCGCCCAGCTGTTAGTCGGGGTCTCACTCACTTCTCTCCGAGTGGGACCCTGTCCGGACAGTTTGTGTAAGCTTCTATACTTGTACTTGTATAAATTCTTTGCTAATCTTTCTGCTTGGTGTTGGTGATTCTCGGGTGTCCTTGGTTGGGACATGGGTCGCATTTACCGGGGAACTCGACTCCAGGCGTGTGGCTCCCGGACCGCAACAACTGCTCTTTTGTCTTTGTTTGAAGCACTTGCATCTTATGGCACTTGGCCAGCCCTACTGTTATATCTGTCCTCCTCGGAGAGGGGATGGGGTCTTTCCACTGCGGCACAGGGGGGATGCATGTAGGCAAATTGCCTTGCATCAGGCATCAGGGGAGACAGAGTGGCCATGGAAGACTGATGCCCACTGTTGGAGCTGAACTTTCTCTGTGTCTTCTCTACATAAGTAAAGTGTTGTCCCATCCAGTGCGTGACTGCACCGTGTTCTTCCTGGCAACTCAGATACCGACATGCAGTGGGGAGAGGTGTTTGTACTTCTATTCCCAGTGGCTGGCATAGTGATGATTTTTGCTATTCTCCATGTAGTTGGTGTCCTGCTCTGGGATTGGTGACCAGTGCCCGGTAATCTGCTTGACAGATACGATAGGATATAAGCTGGGAGTAGAGGTCAGAAACTGAGCCTTGGGGAAAACCTGCAGTTATGTGGCTGGGACAGAAAAAGAGAGCATAGATGTGGCTGTTGGAGGGGAAATAAGAGAACCAGGACCATGGACACACAGCTTCCAAGGATGGTGCAGGGTTGCCAAGGAAACACACCACAGCTTGGTGGAGACATTAGGGGCTTGTCAAGTCCACTGCCCCAGGGTGATGCCAGCTCCCTGGGGGTGATGGGCTGACTGAGGTGCTGGCTACTTTCTGGCCACATGGGCACAAATGGGTTGTGGTTAGTCTCCCTGTTGAGAGGTAGGAGCTGGTGCATCGGGTGAGGGCAGAGTTGGAGAGGTGGGTGCTATGATGAGCGGGGAAACTCTCCTCTGGCTCTTGGCCACCCTGGGGCTCCCATGCCATCTGCTGTCTGCTTCATCCCTTTCAACCTCCACTGCTTTGGCTTGCTCTCCAGTGCCTTCAGATAGCCTTTCAAAAAGAAATATTTCCCGGGAATTCCCTGGTGGTCCAATGGTTAGGACCTGGAGCTCCCACGGCTGGGGCAGAGTTTGATCCCCAGTCAATCCCACAAGCCATGTGGCAGGGGCAAAAAAAAAATTTCCTAAGGGATTATAATCATTATGTGTGGGAGCATTGGACTGATAGGAGCTACTCCTACTGGAAGCCAGAAATGCTTCTAGGTGAATTTAAAATATATATATATTTTTGGTCATATTACAAATCCCAGGAAGATTTTGCTTGGCCTGCCATTACATCTATAGCTTAAATGGGGGTAAAATCAAGAGTGTTGCAATGTTAAATCTTCCCACGCAGGATGTTGTATGCCTCTTCATTTATTTTATTCTAGTCTAGATTGATATCTCGAACTGGAGCAGAGAAAACACCACCACCCTTTCCAATCCCCGAAGTGCACTGTGTATCCTTACTTGGCTTATAGCATCTGTAGTAGGTCGAGTGGCAAACACACGGCAGCTGATCACAGTGAGGAAAGCCAGAATGTTGCCCTGGATACTCACTGACAGGTGTCCATTGCAATTAGAGCCAGACCAGTAACAGGGGCTACTGAGTTCTTAGCAGAATGAAGGGGATACAACTCTCCTAACTTGCTGCTTCTGCCACCAGATAGGGTGTCGCTAGATTCACTGGTGGCTGGAAACCCAAACAGCAGCTTCTCTTGCTAACAACACTGACAGCAGCTGCAGCAGCAAAAGCAAACTTGAAGTCCCACCCTCTCGGCGGCCCTGCTCCCTTCCCTAGCATAGCCTTATACCCTGAAAGTGGCACATGAGCAGCCTTGATCCTACACTCAAGAAATTCTGCATGGCTGTTTGTGGAAATGAATGGGGGACAGAAATGATAGGATTTAACCTGGGAGTAGAGGACAGAAACTGAGCCTTGGGGAAAACATGCAGTTATGTGGCTGGGACAGAAAGAGGATCCAGAAAGAGGGAGCATAGATGTTGCCATTGGAGGGGAAATAAGAGAAGCAGGACCCTGGACTCAGCCTCCAAGGATGGTTAAAGCCAACGCTCCCTGCACAATGGCAGCTGGTATGACACAGGAGGTGTCTTGGTGTACACGTGTCACTCAGTGGTGGATCCCTAATGGGGATAACTTTCTCCGAAAGGGAAGCCTCAGCCTGGCCAGTCCTGAGGCCTGGGACAGGATGTCACTATGGCAGAAGCCATGGATGCAGAAGAGCGTGCTCAGTGAGAGAGCTCGGCAGCCCAAGGAGCCCTCCCGCACCATCCCCAGGGCAGACGGGACACGGAGATGTCAGTATCTTGCTGAGCACGTGTGGGCATCAGTCTATGTAGCAGGGCTGGACTCATGGGCCCCACCTCAGAAGGTCCCACAAATTATGGAGCCCCTCTGTTCTGGAGGAATCTGTCCTCATCAGGACTTAGGACTATAAATGACCTTGGAGCAGAATCTGAACATAAACTATAAGTTGTAACAAAGGCCCAGATTAATGTACACCCCAGTCCCTAAACAGAGTAGCAGAAGACTGGAGCCTCCAGCATCAGAAGAGGAATTCAGAGAGCCTGCTCCGAGGCCAGGGGATGGCGCTCTCTGACTCCACTCTGTCATTGCTAAGGGTTGCCTTGTCCATTGACGCCTTAGATAACAGCAACCCCTATTCCATGAGGTAGATACAGAATTCTCAACCAACCCTTCCGCTGTCCTTCCTCCGGAATCCCTCCAGATATTTCCATAGCTGACAGCCACTTCAGTAGACTCTGCCCTGAAGGTTGCAAGAGGTGTCCCCATGTGGAACGGGAACAAAACGGACAGCCGGCATCCCCTCCCCGCTGAGAGAAAGCCGTCTTGGCAATGTTATATATTTTCCTGGATGTGCTCTGTGTTCACCCATGATTGGGGGGAAGAGTTGAAAGAGTTATCAAATAAGGTCACATCCAGCAGAGAGGTTCTGGCTGGGACTAGGGCATAGGTGACCCCACAGAGCTCAGTCACAGCCCCATGGAACATGGTTAACAGAGAAATAGGAGGTGATCAAAGGGAATGTGCAGGCACAGCCTTGCTTTGGGCATTGGATGAAAAACAAGAGAGTGAACTAGAATGCTCCCCAGAGGGAGCAGCAGAGTCAGATGAGTTTTTCCAAGATAAGGGGGAGTGGTCTTTCCCTGGGTGAAAGCAGAGGTGATGAAACACAGGGATAGACTTATTCTGTAATGATTAATGTAATGAGGGAGCACTGCCTTCCAATTACATGCCATTTTGCTTAAGTGGCCTGCTGATAAGATAAAACAAATGCAGGCGGCACAGCCTGAACGGAAAGTCAGCTGCTTTTGGCTTCTGCAGAGATGTCCCTGGGACTGCAGCTTCCCTGGCAGTTTCTCCCTGGCCTCTTGCTCTGCCTGTGCGTCGGGCCATGGGCCGAGGCTGGGAAGGTGCTGGTGGTCCCCATGGAGGGCAGCCACTGGCTCAGCATGCGGGAGGCCGTGCGGGGGCTCCATGCCAGAGGCCACCAAGCAGTGGTCCTTTCTCCTGAGGTGACTATGCACGTCAAGGCAGAGGACTTTTTCACCATGAAAACCTATGCTGTTCCATACACCCAGGATGAATTTGATTACATCGTGATGGACAAGATTCATCTGTTTTTTGAAAGAATACATTTTCTAACACTGTTTTTGGAAACTATGGCCTTTTTGAAAAATGTGTCTTTGGTCTTTCAAAGGTCTTGTGAGGAACTATTGTATAACAAGGACCTGATCAGGCACCTGAATGCCAGTTCCTTTGATGTGGTTTTAACGGACCCCGTTTACCCCTGCGGAGCGGTGCTGGCTAAGTACCTGTCGATTCCGGCTGTGTTTTTTTTGCGTTCCATTCCATGTAACTTAGATACTGAGGGCACAGCGTGCCCAAACCCTTTTTCGTATGTTCCTAGGTTACTAACAATGAATTCAGACCACATGACATTCTTCCAAAGGGTCAAGAACATGCTCTACCCTTTGAGCTTCAAGTGCATTTGCCAACTTCCTTTCACTCCTTATGCACGTATGGCCTCTGACCTTCTTCACAGAGAGGTGTCGCTGGTGGATATTTTTGGCTCTGCATCCATTTGGCTGTTCAGAGGAGACTTTGTGATGGACTACCCCCGGCCATTCATGCCCAACATGGTCTTCATTGGGGGTATCAACTGTGCCAACAGGAAACCATTATCTCGGGTCTGTATTGGTGCTTTTATTCAATCAATGTTCCAAGTGGAGCACATTGTTTTAAAAAACAGCTTACTTCCAGGTGCTTATTTATCTACTGATCTTTTTAAAGGTTTCCACCGGGCTTCCCTGGTGGCGCAGTGGTTGAGAGTCCACCTGCCGATGCGGGGAACGCAGGTTCGTGCCCCGGTCTGGGAGGATCCCACATGCCGCGGAGCGGCTGGGCCCGTGAGCCATGGCCGCTGAGCCTGCGCGTCCGGAGCCTGTGCTCCGTAACGGGAGAGGCCACAGCAGGGAGAGGCCCGCGTACCGCAAAAAAAAAAAATTTCCTCCTCTCATTCTCCTTCTGACAGTCTTTGGTGAGATAAATTGTTAAAGTGCCTCCAGTAGTGCAGTAAATGTTTGCGATGGTCTTTGAGAGGAATGAAAGGAAGGGGTGAGGGTCCATAATAGGATTGACAAGCAATGGTGTGATTCAACCGTGATCAGCCTTTAGTAAAGGCATGTTCGTAACAGTTGTGCAATTTTCTCCAGCTGAGTAGGAGCAGAGAACTTGAGCTGTGAAACCATCCATCAGGGGTTTTTGCTTGAGGGTGTTCAAGAAGGATGAAAGGACTGGCAAATTACATTTGTTTAAAAAATTCTTTTAAACACTTCTTTTTTTTTTTTACAAGCCTGGCTTTGTTTGTTGTTGTTGTTGTTTTTTAATTTAATTAATTAATTTGTTTATTTTTGGCTGCATTGGGTCTTTGTTGCTGCGCACGGGCTTTCTCTAGTTGCAGCAAGTGGGGGCTACTCTTTGTTGCGGAGCACGGGCTTCTCATTGTGGTGGCTTCACTTGTTGCGGAGCACGGGCTCTAGGTGCGTGGGTTTCAGTAGTTGTGGCACCTGGGCTCAGTAGTTGTGGCTCACGGGCTCTAGAGCGCAGGCTCAG